AAAAAAAGAACAGAAAAAACATACTCACAAGGAGAGTTCACAAATGCTTCTGAACTCTCATTTCACAAAATAAGACAGGAGTTAATTATTACTTGTAATAGGGTTTCTTATATCCTGAACATTAAAAGAAATTAATAGGAAAAGGTATAAATTTGTCAAAACAGTGCTAATTAACATCCTATGATTTCTCACCCTTTTAATAGGTAATTTGCTGTAGTGAGAGCATTAATGATAAGTGAGAATGAAGCTACAATAGTATTTTCCTCAAATTTCTCAATTATTCATGGTACAAGAAGTTTTAATTTTATTTTTTTTTAATATTTGAAGGCCAAAATACTCTGTTTCTTTAGTACATGGAAAACATTTGTTCAGCATGACCTGTGATATTTTTATATAAAGGTCCATCTGACTAAATAATTACCACCTGCACTGTAAATTTTTGGTAGTCGTACTTGACATATTGGTATTAAGGTATTAGTCAGTCCATTCTGTACTTTTGTGCTGAAAAAAAAAAAAAATCAGTATTACTCTCCTCATTTAATCCAGATACCTTCTATGCAGGCAACATACCAACTTAGGTGCTGGCACAACCACTTTGATCTATGTATGTCCTTTTGCAAGTCTTGTTTTTTTCTGGTTTTATAATTTGTTTTCAAGCAATGTTACAAATAGAGTGAAAGTAACTTTTAATATTATGTTTGTAACTGTTGTGTAAATTGGTTTTTATAGACAGTTTTATGGGGAGTTTTATTTGTTGATTCTTAACCCCACATGTCTAATGTTCTGGAAAGATATGAAAACACCTCTTTCTCTGCCCCACCCCGACTTTAGATTCCCTTTACTCTAAGGAAGACAGCACCAAAATTAGGAGAAGTACTGGAATATTTTATGCTGACTTCCATTTTGCATGAAAGAAAAATTCTGGAATGGAAGACCAGAACTATTGTAATTGAGATGTTCCCAGGTTTCCCAGAAAGTTCTGCTTGCTGCATCTTACATGGTGAAGTGGAATGTGTGCTGGTTGCTGTTGGTCATGAGCTGCTGCTTCAGGCACTCCGTAGGGAATAAATGATGGAGTGACAGCAGCATGCTGGGAATGCTGCTGCTGGATGGAGTTCTGCTTCCTTTCCTGCCACTCTGAGAAATGTTGAGGGCTGGAAGCAGATTTGTTTATAAGGAAGTCCTTCTGAATTAAAAATTTGGAAAGAGTCCTATGATAATGGACTTTAACATCCTCCCCAGTCCTGAGCACTAATCAGAAATCATCCCAATTAAAAGGGTGTGAAGCTGTGGGGCACAAACACTGTGATGCCTTGGAGAGAAAATCTACCATTTGCTGCATTTAGATTTCTAAGTTGCTGGTTTGATCCCTCATAAGGAAGAAATCAATGAGATGGCCCTGTGCAATAGGACAAAAAATAGAATTTGGGTTTGTGCATCAAAACCTGAGACCTCCTGCTTAAAAGTTTTACAAGATGACTCCACCAAAGGAAGAACAGGTCAGTTCTTGGGACACCAGAATCCCTTTTGACACATAAAGTAGAAACACTTGGTGCTTCAAAAGGACCTGTGAGGTCATCACAGATGATGATAGAGTGGATTTGGTTTGCATCTCTTTGTTTCTCCCTGCAAGTGAGGAATTCATAATTTAATGGGAAAGTTGCTCAGTGGCTTAATTCGTCTTAACAAAATAAAAACTCAGAACCTCAAGTGTAGAAAAGGAGGGAATGTAATGAAATAAATTGTCTGGTCTGTTACAGCGAGTTGAAATTCATCTCTGATTTTTTTTTTTTTTCTGATGGCAAGGGCCCTGGGCCATCTTACTGCAACAGATGCTTGAAGTAATGATGGAAGTTACCAGCAACTATAGGCCTGAGAATGGGGAGAAAGGGTAAAGTGTGGGGCTGCACTTCCCTGAAAAAGAGGGCAGGAGGGTGATATGTTCTGTGGTACCTTAAGGTGGGATAACTGAGAGAAAGCTGCTTGCAGGGAGGTGTAAGAATCTCTCTGCTTTCTGCACTCTGACCTTCCATTGTCCCTTGCAGAGCATTTGAAAGGATTGTGCAGTTCCCTTGATCTATTTAAGAGAAAGATACTGTGTCAAATCTCTCCAATCCCAAACCAGCTGTCTTTCAGATCACATCTATATTATGGCAAGACAGGACAATATAGGATGAACTCTCTAATGTATTTTAATTAACACTGTGTTAGACATTGCTGCCTCCTCTGTTTGGATAAGGACAACTGTGTTTGCAGTAGCCGAACCATAAGCAACTCACAATAGCTCTGACAGGACAACTCCTGAGCGCAGTGGACATTAAGTAACTTTACACAGTGTTTTTCAGAGATTAGTGCTTTTCTGCTGACTTGACTTGTTAACTTAAATAAGGTCTTGAAGCTTGTATTTGCCTTTATTTCAGTACAGTGCAACACAAGAGTTTAGTGACAGAACAGCGCCTCAAAGACTTGTGCAAGGGGAGGCCCCTTTTCTCTGAAAATCATTAATTTTGGGATCCACAATGCCCACCACCAGAAGCTCTTCTTGTAGGAGCTCTGACACTTACATCAGATTTTAAATTTTAGTTTGATTGCTGATGCCAATTTTAAAAACTTCTTAACAAAACCTTTCTAGAAGTAGGCTTTGGATTCCAATTTTATGTAGTGTTTTCAATGTGCAAACTTTATAAGGGAAAACAAAAACAGCTCCAGGAAAAAAAAAGAAAAAGAAAGAAAACCCAGGGGCATATAACCCTGAGAATTTCTTGTTTCTGCTTGTTACAGTGCTTCTCTGCTTTTCCTGTGCTTTCCACAGCAGTATGAGTATTGAAGCTGGCAGGAGTGAGCTCTGCTAAGAGGGAGAAGAGACAGCAGACACAGTTGTTCTGCAGCAGTGGCTGTTTCCTTTGGTCTCTCCTTTGCACGTGGGTAATCCTGAATTCCAGTTTGGAGCCTGGGAGATTTGTGGCTCTGCCTCCGTGGGAGGATGAGATGTTTGTTCCTTGCTACACTTAAGCTAAGAGTGTTTACTAAAGCAATCAGTATTTCTGTGGAGGTGATAGGAGCCTCATTAAAGGGGTGGATGCAGAGATCAGAGGAACAGGTGTAAATATATTTGGTAACTTTAACATAAAGAAACTTGCATTCCACTGACTCTACAGCTAAGCACATTGACTGTTTTTTCTTCCTGAAGTCATGTGGGTCATATGGTCATCTACTGACTCTCTTCACCAGCAACAGTGCAGAAAAGAGTCAGGAATAACCATGCAATAATGTGTGTTGTGTTTCAAATCCAGGTAATCTGCCATCAGTGTGTGTCCCTTGTCATGCTGTCATTTGTATGTCCATGAGCACACATATGGCCTTTAAATAAACTGCTTTCTGTATGTGCTAGGTCCTTGCAGGTCCTATTCTGTCCAGCTGTTTGGGTGTCCTTCTCAGAGTTTATCTAACCCCAGAAGGGTCTCACTTGCTTTCCCCAAGTTCACTTTCATTCTGGGTTTACTTTAAGGGAAGAGTCAACTCAGAAATGGTTGTAGTTTGGGAAAAAAACATGCTGTATTTTTTCTTAAGCAAGAAAAATATCAGGTTTTTTATCAAGTACTGGTCAGCTTGACAGCAAGAAGGATCCTTGAAGGGCTGAGACTGTGGAATAAAGAGCCTGGAAGAATTAACCAATTCCTGTTGCTGCAGAGGTTTTCTGTTCCCAAAGTACTCAGAAGAGATTGAAAGGTATTTATTATTGACATATACAGAGTTAAAAAACCAAAAACAGTTTCTCAAACACTGGAGCAGCCTATCTCCAACAGATGCAACTCAATGACTTTGTCATGCTTTGTCCCTTCAAAAAGCTATTTCTGCATGCTGTGGGAGTGCCTCAGGAAGGGAAGGAACGGAGCTATTGTAAATACAAATGCCTAAATGTGAATATGAATTAAGGTAGGATAGAATAAGTTGGTTTTTTAAAAATGAATAATGTACAAGCACACTCAGTTCTTGGCCACTTGCTGTTTGCTCTCCACACAGGAAAAAAAACCCCAACATCCCAAAACCAAACCAAAACCCAAACAGAAACCTGGCCCTGCTCGGTGAGGAAACAGTAGTTGCACGTGTTAAAAAAATAAATAATGAAGGTTTCCACAGCAACCCAAGTTCTGTAGTGCAAGTTGATGACTTTCATTCTGTTTTATTATATAATCAGAGAACATTTATTCTATTAAAAGTGTTGGGTACATCTGAAGTTATATTGTTAAAAAGTTTAGTGCAATCCTAAAACTTCACATCAAGCAAGTTGTTTACAAAGGTTTCTGAGAAGGCTGTATAAAGCGTTTTTGCAGAGGCTCTGACTGGGGCAAGGGTACTGGTCCATTAGAATATTGCAGGGAGTAAAATTTCAGTTGCAGGAAAACTTTTGTATAACTTATTTCAGCTTTTCCTTTGCTGTGAAGAATTCAAAATCAGTTTTTATGGAAGGAAGTGGAAGCTGAACTGATGAAATCTAAAGACCGTTTCCCATTTTGGGTACGCGTTCGTTGTGGAAACCGTACGAATTTCGCCAGCTCTTTGGAAGCCCTGGAGGCTAATAATACCGACAAGAGAACGAAACACAGTGTCAGCCAAATTGCGGTCTAAACGCCGGTGGTGCCTGGGGTTAGCGCTGCCCGGGGCCGTGTCGCGGGCAGCCCGGGCCGGGGGTCGGGCCGGCCCCGGTGCTGCACTGCGGGCCAGCCTGCCTGGAGCCGTGTGGGCCGGCAGGTGCGGCGAGGATGGGACGGGGACGGGATGGGATTGGGACGGGGACGGGATGGGATTGGGACGGGGACAGGAGGATGTCCCGGGTCCGGCCGCTCCCCTGCCCGCCCTCAGAGGGCACGCGCCTCCCCGCGCCTCGCGCCCGCGCGCGCCTCGTGCGGCCGCACGGGGA